ACCCTAAACCCTAAACCGTCTCTCTTCTTCCGGTACACCATAGGCGCATGGAAGCAGAGGGTCGGGGTCCGTTTTACGTCCTTTTACAGGTCAGAGTCGTCCATGCAAGGGTTTAGGGTTTAGGGGTGTAGAGCTTAGGGCTTTAGGGTTTAGAGGTTAAGGGCTTAGGGCAGGGAATCTACAAGTGGAGAACTACCTAAATGTACAAGCCTGAATAATGACCAATACTATGCCTTAGGGCTCCGTATTATTACTATTTAACTAGAATATACCGTAAAACCTTGTTCAAACAAGTTAGGCACTTTTAGGCCTTTTAATACTCGCTGTCATCGCGTCGCAGGCCCGGCAGTGAAGGCGACAGCTTTGCCGAAGCTGTTCGAGGAAATACCTCGCTCGGAAGACTTGCATTTAGGTTTTGGGGCTTCGCCTTGTTTTGGGCGTTGTACAAACTTGCTAGGTTTCTTGGCTCCAAGGACTGAAAGAAGGTTTCGAATTAGGAGTTTAGCAGCTGAGGGTTGAGGGCTTCGGGTTGACCCGTGTTCTCTTCTGAAAACAACTCCGTCCTAGGTGCAAAGATCGATAGGCACAAGACATGAGCAAGGACAGAAGGGTTTGCTTGGGGGACCTAGGCATCAGATGCACCAACAATCGGTCGAAATTGGACATGCAACAAAAGACAGGCCACATGCGAATACGAACAGACCTTGTATTTAAAGGGTCAGAGGCTTATAATGTCAATGGTGTCGTCGACCACCATGTAAGGTATACCAGGATTTTAGGGAGCTCCGCTTCGGAATTTACAACAGCGCTGCAAACCCACTGATCGGTCTCTTTGTCGTGGCTGCTCAAAAACCAGTGTAACGGCAGTCTCGGAAAACCTCAATTCCCAGATACTCCATCTACCTCTTAATGAGACCCTAAATAGCCTTTATTTGGGACCATATACCCCTGTTTGAGGGGACAGAAAGGGTCTTGCTTAGGACACATATCATCCTACTTACAACCTACTTGCAAAGCTCTCTGAATGTCCCAGGATCAGATTAAGGTTCGGGGCTGTATCTTGTATGTTTCTTTCTTCTTCAACTACATACAACACCCAAAAACCGAAGCATCACACCCCAAGGCCAGTCCAAACGCTGCACGCAAAAGCAACGAAATCCTATCGAAGTTTAAGCGGAAGTCTCCACCCAAACGCCCGAATGGGAAGTCCAAAACCCACAAAGAAGATCAACCCTATAGTTTAAAACTCTGAATCCGAAGCGCCTAAACTGGAAGCCCTCGAACCCTGCAAACCACCGAAAACCACCTTCGAGACTCTCGTGCAGGTTCCCAAACGATTCCTAGTACCCTCACCTCCCTATGCTAGAAGTCATGGGCTGAATGACTCGAATAGGCTGTTTTCTGGGGGGGGGGGTATAATCTACTGTAACTTTGCAAAGGAAACCGGAAGTAGTGTTAGAAACTCGATCGGCTTCTTTATTCGCCACCGAAACTCCCGACGTCTGAGCACCCCGTGCCTCTTACGACGACTGCATGCTTGTCCTGGCACGACATGGTTTAGGGCTGCAAGATGAAGCTATTTTTGTTTTTACGGCCCATATATCATGTGTGTGTATATATATATATAGCATCTTGGAGTATTAACTATATGTATTGGTACATACTAGTACTATGCCCCGAAAACCTATTCTAAGTCTGACTTGGAGTGATTTGTGGCTTTAAGATTGAAGAACTTCTGGCTTGGAGGCCCCAGAGTCATACAACTTCGGCAGTGCAAGGGTCTTAATACTTGGAATAGGGTTTTGGGCTCCTTTATAGTACGTATACTTACAACAAGGATCCCTAAATCAGGTTGGTAATTATTTAGGCTCCTGTATTATGGGGTTGAGGGTTTCGGCTTTCAGCAGCCCTGAGGGCTAGGACCTGAACCTTTGATCTTGTGGCTCTGCGGGTTCAGGGCTGCACGGTCTAACGGTCAAACTAGGCCCGACGGCTCTGAGAGTTTGGGGGGCAATATCATGGGTTTATAGGGTTTAGGGTCATGGTTTTGTAGGGTTTAGGGTTTAGGGTCTAGGGTCTGGGGTTTACTATCAGCCCCTGAGACCCAATTTGACAACCACAAGCTTTCAAATGCTTGGTATATCTCAATATACAACTGTGGCACACGTGAGCCTTCACACTGCGGGGGTCGTTGCCGCTTGGGTGGCCTCAAAGAATGGGGGAAGAGGGCTCGAAAGATGGTTCGGTTTTGCAAGCTTGAACGCGTGATTCCTAGGGCCCTGTTCAGCCATGGGTCTCTGCAGTGCATATGCCTGAGAACCCCTTGGTCATAAGTCGTCTGATTCAGATGTAATGAAAGCCTTCGTCGCTAAACCTTGGAACCTCAGCTCTCGAACTCTAAAACCCTAAACCTGTGGAAACACCCTTACGGGACACCACTAAAGAAACCAACCCTTCAGCACAGTCGCAGTAGCAGAAGCAGCGGTAGTCATATCAGGAGGAGGAGTGGCAATAACATGTGTCACCAATGACAGCAGCACTAGGAGGAAATGGAGCAACGGAGCCCGAAACTCTACAGGCATCGCTCCTGGCCATGGCCGCCGGGATCCCCTCGGCAGTAGCGACCTCGACGGCCTTTCGTAGCAACGAGTCTGGGATTTAGGGCTCAAGCCTGTAACCGACAAGACCTACCTTTTAAAAGGACCAATATATTTAGGGTTTAGGGTTTAGGGTTTAGGGTTTAGGGTTTAGGGATAATATATATATATATGTATGTATAGTAAACCATAATAAGGAACCCTAAGAAGTAGGTCTTTTCGGCTACAGGAAAGACTGATGCAAAGTTAAGAAGCTGCTGAAGTTGGCAATCTTCGGACAAGTCCGTCGGGTGGAGATCCTAGCAGCTGAGAAGAGTCTTCTAGCAATGCATTCTTCGCATTCGAATGTTTGTCAAACTCGGCTCGGTCATCAAACCTTACTACATCTTATTATGGAACCGAATGACAAATGGAAAAACACGGACGCCAAACCAACAAAGACGTATTACTCTACTAAAAGCTGGTAACACAATATCACCAACCACGGACATTAAAACAGTCGCAAATGTTTTTTGAATCAATCCCTGGCTCGTGCTTGTTGACAATGTGCCCGATAGGGCGCAGCCGAGCGCAACAGCGAAGACGTTTGATGCTTTCACTGGGAACTCTCAAACATTCGACAAGGGGGAGAGCCCAGTTGCAACCCGCCCAATCCCAGACCTAAACCCTAAACCCCAAACCCCAAAGTGTCAGGTGCCTGCTGCGCGAGCTCCGGCGACTGGAACTTGGCGAAACCACCGCGGAGTTTTGAGTTAGCCTGCTTGGAGGTTCGTTTTAGGCTTTCGGGGTTTAGGGCTTGAGGTTTCGGGTTTAGGAGTTTAGGGGTTTAGGGTTCAGGAATTTAGGGGTTTAGGGTTTAGGGGTTTAGGGTTGAGGGTTTAGGGTTAGATTTGGGGTCATCATTAGGGTAACTATAGTACTTATGACCCATGTTAGGGGACTTCTAACTCCAATTCTAACTACCCATGAACCTGCAAGTGGGTAGTTCTCTAAATTAGGATCCTCTTTAGGGTCCCCAATATAGCACGGCACCCTTATAAGAAGGACCCCAAAAGGGACCTTCATGTAAAGAACTACCCAAGTGAAGGAGGAAAACTCAGCTACTGGCTTTGCACAGGATGTCCCCTAAACCCTAAACCCTAAACCCTAAACCTAAAACCCTAAACCCTAAACCTTTTCGCCGGGTCCAGGGTCTTGGAGACTTGCGGCTCGAGATCAGGATTTCGATCTGCGTGCATGGACATCGACTG